CTCCCACTAGGTTTATATCTGGGACTCTCCACCATTTGACCTTAGAACTGAAGAAGCTTCTCAGATGAGAGGTGAAACGTCTTCAAGTAACTTAAAGAAGTCCAGACGCTTTTCTTTGCAAGCTCCTTTGACAGCAGCTTTAAGCACAAAAATAAGGTGAATCACACCGATTCAAATGAGTGGAGGAGTCGTTCCTTAGAAGAGTAACCCTTTAAGACAGACTGGATAACAGATGGTATGAAAGACAGTAATGTTTACTGTTTCACAGGAATTCCAGTGTTTCCTTTGAATGTGTTCTCTTTGTTTAGCAGTTGTCTTGAAAAACGCTGTGTCACTTTCTGCTGACTGCAGCTCCTGCTTAGCATTTGCCATCTGTGCAGTTTTGCTGGTCTTTCTTCTGCATATTTGTATATGTTTGATCCCTTCAGGCTCTTACCTGGAAGATGATTGAAATAATTCCCAGTTCAGCATCCACTGCATGCTCAGCCTGGGCTCTGAGCCTAAAGTGCTGCATTATATAGATGGGTGAGCAAGCACTCTCTCTCACTCTAACACATGCACACATACATCTAACACCACAGGTCCACAGCTCTCTGCAGAGTCGCTGTGGTGATTATAGTCACCGCACAGCTTTGATGCAATGCAGATGAATTAAATGCCTACACGATCAATAGCTCAAATAATTACAATAAAAATTGATTTCTGTGACAGTAGTAGTAGTTTGATGTGCTTTGTTATAATTTAAAATCCTAATAATGAACTAATCATGGTTAGCAGTAAGGTAAAAACTCTGAAATGATGTAAATTTTTACCAAAAGATCTCAACATATCATTTTTCTAGAATAGAATAGCCTTTATTGTCATTGTACAGAGTACAACAAAATTGGAGTGCCACTCCCTTGGTGCAAGTTTCAATAATAAATATAAATGTAAAATATAAAAAGCACAAAAAAACCCAAAAACAATCGTAAGTACTCAAACAATAGTATGTACAATATATACAGGGATAGCAGCATTAATATAATCAATGTAATTAAAAATACTTAAGTAAATAGGTTAGGCAGGCAAATAAAGTCATCCAATTCAAGTAAGTGTCACTAAACCTCAAATAAGCCTTAACCTAAATTTATTTTTTATCCACAAATCTGAAGCAATATTAAAGTGGTCCTGTTATTCTTTTCCTTTTTTGCTACACAGAGGGCTGTGAACCATATTCTTATATTGCTTCACATTATTTTTAATTTTAGACAAGGATAACCTGAGAAAATATAAAATGCAATTTTGAAATGATGACTTTATTCATTAAGGGTAAAACTATGCCATCTCAATCTGATTTAAGTCCAGACTTTAACTAGGCAACTCCAAAACCTTTTGGGGGGTTTTAGCGATTCGGTGGCAGACTTGCTGGTGTGTTTAAGATCATCGCCCTGCTGCAGAACCCAAGTGTGCTTCAGTTTCAGGGCATTAACTGAGAGTTGTAGATTGTACTTCATGATTTTCTGGTAAAGAGCAGAATTTATGTTTCCATCAATTATGGCAAGTGGTCCAGGTCCTGAAGCAGCAAAGCAGCCCCACATCATCACACTACCTGTTGGTCTCTTTTCATGAAATGCTGTGTTAGTTTTACACCAGATATAACGCGACTCAAACCATCCAAACTGTTCAACTTTTGTCTCGTCAGATCAAACCACCAACCTTCCGATTAGTAGATGACTTGCTCTACCACCTGAGCAATTCCAGTGAGCTCCTTAATGAGCCGACAGTGCGCTCTTGAAATAGTTTTCGTAGCCCACTCCTGGGAAGTTTCACCACTGTTCCAAGTTGCCTTTGGATAATGGCTCTCATTGTGGTTCACAGGAGTCCCAAAGCCTTAGAGATGGCCTTGTAATCCTTTCAGGACTGATAGATGCTAATGACTTGTTTCTCATCTGTTCGTGACACAATGTGTTGCTTTCTGAGATCTTTTAGCCTACTTCACTTTGTCACACAGGTTCTGTTTAAGTGATTTCTTGATTTAACAGGTCTGGCAATAATAAGCGCTGGGTGTAAAATTCAGTGCATTTTAAAAAAAGATTTAATAAGGGGTAGCAATTACTTTTTTTTACTGCACTCACTGAATACTCTCAGTGTATACTGTCAGTAAGTGGACACTTAATTATTGTCCACTTACTGACAAATAATGAGGTCTTCCCATTGTGATTATGATGATTGGGATGAGGCTTTCCATGTCTGCTGGGGGCATGGAGCTAAAACAGCTAATTTCAAAGATGACGGACAGGCCCAGCGTGAGATAAATAACATTATTTTGAAATGTGAATCGTCCAAGGTTACTCTAGCAAAGTCTAAGAATAAAAATATGGAGTTGTTGTTAGTATAACAGACCCCCTTTAATGATCTAGGTGTGTTTGGCAGCTTTGAATGATAGCATCTATTGACCGGATAAAGAAAAAAATCCATAAACTGAAAACTACACACTGGGCCACATCATACCATTCACGGTAATACCGGTATAATGTTGGGCAACGGCAAGAAAATGAAATATTGCGATAGGATATGGATAAAACGCGCATGCGCAGTGCCTTTGTTTACATACGCACATGAAAAAGGCACGGCGGCAAAGGGTGAAAGCGGGTCGTTGAATGAAACGGATGAACCAGAATTGGTTTGTAAAAATGCTGCAACTTCAGTGGTGTGGAACTGGTTTTGTCCATCAGATAGACAACAAAGCACAATTTTTGGTAGAGCATGCTAGTGGACCGTCGTTATTACCGTGTTTTTTGGAAAATACGGCACACTTAAAATCAATCCTTTGATTTTTCTGAAAATCGACAGAATCCCGTGTGCCTTATGTATGAATTCTGGTTGTGTTCACTGACCTCAAAACGATTTTATGTCGTACCCGGCGCTCGAAAATCCGTCAAATGTTTTAGTACGACTTTGCTAAGCTACAAACCCGCACCGCTTGATGGATTGTCGGAGCATTATGGCTATATTAGGCAGGAGCCTCGCGGAGTGATACGTACGGTGCTTCAGCATAATATTACCGTATTGTGTGTTTATAACCTCTTTTTAAGTTTTGTGGATATTATACATGGTTATGCTGAGGATATGTCGGGAAATTTCCACTGGAAATGCCTTTTGGTTAAACTGTCAGCAAGGAATTTGCATTTGCACTGTTAATTTTTATATAACTTTAATGCAAAAAACGGCTGCTTGTTTAAGTGAAAATACATTGATGCACTAATAAAGTTGTGGAGTTGTAAAGTATTTTGTCTAGTGTCAGTTATATTGTCAGTTATATCGTTATCGCAAATTTTCAAATCTATATCGTGATAAATATTTTTGGTCTTATCGCCCTGCTCTACTACACACAGAATGCTCAGTGGTGAACAAATAAACAAAGAAGGCCCCACTTTGTCAGTCACTGCTAGCCTAAAATCCATCCAGAAACACACAGAAACCAAAAAAGATCTTCACTTGATTAAACTGAGCACATCTACAAAATATCACACAGGTCGATAAAACACTAATGATTTATTCTGTATTTTATATCTACTTGCATTCAGTTCAATTCTTGCTAAATGTTGACTTTAAAGACTGGAGCTACATCGTCACGATAATACAAAAATATACAAGATAATAAAAAAAAGCTTCATTGTTTAGAATGTTATTCAGAATACGTTGCTGGTTTCTGTCATCTCCAGGCTCATAAAGAGCCACATCACACTGACCTCTGACCTCGGAGGAGAAGTGGGCAGAGTGGCGAGTTATAAACAGCTGCAGCTGCTGATCAAGGTCGCAGCACTTGAGGTCGACGTCCCAGGATCGAATTCCTGCCAGGAAGAAAGACAAAGATTGTTCAAGGACAACGTGATGCAGTGAAGCACAGGCATTGGTGAAACTAAGCAAACTTTTCTGAGCCTTTCTTTTATCTGTGTACTTGAGGTAACCTTTTATCAGATGCTGCTGTCGTGTCTTGTCTTTCCTCAACTCGCTTTCTGAATTCTGTTTGGGTTTTGGGGAAGGTCAATGACCTGAAACCACTTCATATGTTCAAAATGTCCAGAAACTCAAAGCATCACGTGCTTTTCTCATTTCAGAAATACTAACCTTAAAAACCAGTGAAAGCACATTATATCCACAGCAGTATTACAGCCTGTGATGACTTTTAGTCAGCTAAAGGTTTCTGACATGACATCATGCACACATTGCTTGAAACTTGTCCACTATATTGGATGTAATACATTTTTATGAGAGTGTGAACAGGGTCTTATTCACTTTACCCTAAAAGTGAATAAAATGCCATTGTGTCACATGTCCAAAATGGCAGACGAGTTAATGTCACATGGCTAGTGGTCAGTTCTGTGTGGTAAAGGTAGATGTGGAAGCTAGCTGCTCAATATTGATGGGTCTAGCCTTGATTTTGGTTTTGGTGATTTTATGAAGGTCTTTTGAACAGTTTACACCCTGTTGTATGCTAATCTGCCTCATTTGTCTGGTGAACACTGTAAATTATTTACACATAAGGTGAAAATAATTCAGAAATCCAATCCGTTCTTAGATTTCTTTAAAGCTCTGAGTGTTTGTAAAACCATCGGTGGGCTATTTAATTGTAATTGGAAGCCACAGGACTTTGCCTAGAGTTGGATATCTGGCCAAACTGAGTAGAATAAGAAAAATCCCACGATCGCCAAGCTTTAGACGCCCTCTGAAAAGATGGGGTAACATAACAGAGAAATGAGCATCTCATCACACCTTTTCATTTAGGCTTTCATGGCTGACTAGCTATGACTGCCTACTTAAAATATGGTAAACTATCTTTAAAAGATTCTGAGAGTACAACAAGACAAATAATTGGTCTTCTTTTGTAACCCTTTCTAACTTTTGTTATGACATTTAAGAGTAAGCAGGAGTTCCTGTATTCTCTGGTCTTACAGGTCAAAAAATAAACTGTTCGGGCAGTTTTGTGTTTGTCAGCTATGTGTCTGACAAACACTCACCATTACCTGGCTAACCCCATTCCTACAGTATAGCTTGTGATAGTAGCAACATGTCAGGGGTAGGCTAATCTAAACTAAATCTATATTTGGAAAGAAAGAGAGAGAAAAAAATCCCATTACTCCAGCAATGCATGTGTAAGTCTTTCTTTGTAAGAGCACAAAAATCCAAAAGGGGCCACTTCCATGAGAAAAAAAAAAAAAACTGTATACTGAACATGTACATGTACTGCTTGTCCATTTTTTCCCCTATGGGCAGAGAGGTCCTTGAAGAAAACCTGCTGAGATTGATCCAGTTAAGTTCAAGACTGAATCTTATTGACTCTTCAGTCCTTTGAATTACAAGGCTCCAGTGCATCTGGCTACTAACCATGTGTTAGCTTGTTAATATGTGTAAATGGAGTGTTGATGGCTTATAACAAAAAAAGGCACGCTTCAACAGACAATAGATATCAAGAAGGTACTGAGCAGGTACTGCATTATTATCAGATAATCGGGGCAGCTCTCTCTCTCCCCCTCTCCCTCTCTCTCCCCCTCTCTCCCTCTCTCTCTCGCTCTCTCATCGTCAAACTTCAGAGGGAACTTATGTCAGATCTCATCCAGCAGGATGGAAACCAATGCACACGCCTCTCTCATCTCACCCACTTCTGGATTCCTTTACTCACAGCAAGAAATTAGATTTAAATTTTTTCCCAAATCCATACCCCTCTGCTTAAATGCCCTTAACAGAGTAGAAAATGTTCCATGACTACAGACTGCAGTCTGTGCACAGAGATGCTGTATCACTCTTACTGTTCTGTCTTTCTTTGCACTACCAGATGCATAAAAATGATAACCTTCTAGAGGCACAATATTACATTTTCATCACAATCCCCATGACAACATAACTGTTGGCATCGAGAGAAGACTAAAGGACAGGGCAAATTATGATAATAACAAAGGCCTTCTTATTTTTGATCGACCCATCATAGAGGATGACATCTGTCAGCAAGTTAATAGAGTCAACATTTCAAACACTGTAATTAGTCTCACACATTAATGGCTGTTTATAGGCAAGAAAGGATTCACCAGTTTCTGCATATGCTTGCGTGAGGAGTTCCAGTCGAGTACATTTTTAGGCGTTTCTAAAGAAACCTCCTTTGTGTCTGTGCAAAAAACAGATGTCTGGATATGACGCTGCAAAATACGTAGGCAAGGAATACGATCTCTGGTACTGGAAGCTTTCTGGGTTTGGCTTCAGTTTGTAGTTCACTTTTAGTTTGTATTTTACTGATCAGCCACGTTTGAACAGGTTTTTGGTTGCATGCAGGTAAAACTGTCAATGTGGAGAACAAAAGAGGAAAAAAGCTTTTGCAGGAATGCAGTCTCAGAACCATCTGCTGTAAACTGACCAATTTAGCTTTCTAATAGCCTATATTTAATATCTGAGCAGCTGGGGCTGAAAATTGCCTGTTAGGCCTCACCTTGCTGATTGAAGTCACTGAAGTGGGCGTCTCGATCGCGTTTGTGTTACTATTTTGTTTGTTTTAATGGAATTATCTGTCAAACAATAATAACACTGAAAATAATAACAGCCCAGAGAAGTTTGTGCTTCAGCACTGGAGAATGAAATTCTACAACTTTATTATCTGTTGCTTAGCACTGACTTGTGTATCTGTGCACCGAAACCACTCAGTTTGCCAGCTAACGTCTCAGCACTCCACCCTCTCTTCCAGTGTGAAGAGTTGCTGCTTGTATATCACAATAGATTTGATATTTTTGGGTTTTGGTTTCCCCACATCTTTGTAACAATAAAATAAATCATTAATTTAAAAACCTTAAAAATATTTACTTATTTACATATCTATAAAAAGTAATTCGTTAACTGAACCCATTCACAAGTTCAAATAAGTCACCTAAACTAATGAGAAGCCTGGTTGGACTGACTTTATACATGCAGAAGAAAACCTCTGACTTCTGGTTGTCGGCATCTGCTCAAAGTGAGTCTCTCAGACAGTCCACGTTAATTTCAAATAAATTACTTATTTTTAAAAACGGACAATGCTCTTCATCACATGGATTGTAAGTTAATCGTACCTGTAGTTCCTAATCTTACTGTATGCAAGGTCTTCTTGTGAAACCTCTCCAAGTAAGGCATAGTTTTCATTCCCATGTTTAATGAGTGGCATTAAAATATCCTTAATGAGGCTAAAATTATGAATTAAACAGTTCAGCACACCGCAGGAAATGTGAAATATAAAATAAAGTCATTTGGTTTAGTCTTGTCAATGTGCAGAGTCAGTAGTGGGTTTATGAAAAATTCATGTTCATCTGAATAAGACCTTAAGCAGAGCACGGCCAGTAAAGCTGGCCAACAACCACCCTGTGTACTCTGGGAATGTCCCTATAATACAGTGCTTGGAGCTGCAGCAGGACAGGAGAATGGGAAGGTTGTTAAAGGCTAATAATAGCATAAAAACAACATACAGTTTTTGAATGAGTCATTTACTACACTATGTGTAGAATATTTCCTCTTTCCCCACTTTGAGATACGGAGAAAGGATTATAACTGCTTAATGCTGCAGACTGCCTACAGGTAGGCTTTATAGCAAAGTTTTTCAATAGTGTCTAAATCAATCAAATCCAAAATATGAACTTGCAGTTTTTTTCCAGCTCGCAGCACATTTGAAGAAGAAATTATAGAAATGAAAGGATTTAAACGGAAAAGTTGGGCACTGATTCTGATGTAATAATCATTAAGCTGAGCGAGTGGTCAGCTTGTGTTCAATAATAAATACAAGTATGAAAGACGTTTCATGAACTACTGAAAGCCTTAATACTTCAATATCACAGGATATATAATTTTTTTAAAAAGCCAGCCTCAGTGTTAACTTTCAAAGCACCCATGGGCAGACTGGGGGCCAATAACCATCACAATCATACCTAACTAAACACCCCCGCTAAACATTATATTAATAAATCTTGCAGTAAATGGCAGTAATGAGTCTGTACTAGTGTTGATTCAAAAAAAAAAAAGGCACTACACTTGTCATGACCCTCTGAAACAAACTGTAGATTAAGTATATAGGTGTATGCATATGTATAACAGAATGTGCACGTAGGTGATTGTAAAGGCTTATATGACATTTAGACTAAGTGGATTGTTTTATCTAAGCAATCTTTTCATTTTTAACATCAGAAGGAGCCAGATACCATGTCATCTGTAAAAAGGTGAATTTGGTCAATAGCCTCAACCCCAACTGGTGGTGACAGATGGCCCCGCCCCTCCCTGAGCCTGGTTGTATTGGAGGTTTCTTCCTGTTAAAAGGGAGTTTTTCTTTGCCACTCCTGCCAAGTGACCCCAACAATCAGACAACTCTTGTAGTTTTCTGATTGTCTGGGTTTTCTCTTTTTTATTGTAAGATCTTGTTTTGATGTGATGCTATATAAATAAAATTGAATTGATTAGTAAAATAATCCAGTGTGTCTGCTGCATTAATGGAGTTTTAGAAAAATGCTTTATCTATATCTATATCAATATAATCCTCGGGAAAAATGTTGCCCATCCTTGTTTTAAAGCGCAAATGTCACTAGCTACATGAGCACCATGTTTGCTGATAATATAAATCATAAATGACCAAAGTGCTCAGGGGAAAAAATGGCATAAATGTGACATTTGTCAGTAGTAGGGAGATGTAGATCTCAGTCATTCAGATTTCAGTCAACTGATTTCGCTGTCTTACCCCTCCCAATAATCCTAACTACAGTGGTTACTGTATATATAAAAACAAGTTTTTTCCATCATGGCTGGCCAGCGTGTTTTCTCCAATAGTTTGGACCAGATCCATATCCCCTGAGATCCCTATCGGTGGAGACTGTTTACCTCAGCCGCCAATGCTGCATGAGAAGCATTCGCATCTGTTCACATCATTCTGGAAAAGGCTGTAAAATTTTGTGAAAAGAGTCCAGGTATGGAGTCAAAGAACCTCACTTCTGACTGATGACAGCGTTACTGAGGTGAGCTGTTAAGGATATCGAGAACTTTTCTGTCAGTAAGCGCAGCTGCTGTTAGCTGCTGTTAGCCAGTGTAAGTGAAAGTACCTTTGAAGAAAATGTAACTCATATGTTTGTGAGAATGTAATCAAACTCAGAGGGAAAATGTGATTTTTGGGGCAAATAAACCTAACATTAGTTGGTATATTGTTAGTTTATAACCTGCTGTTGTTGTTGTTTACTCAGCTCTTGTTTTGGCACCTGTCTGCAAATCTATCTCCCTTTGCATTTTTGCTTCTTTGATGAAGGGAACTCCTTTGATGATAAAACAGGTATGATGCTTCATATCTTAAATTCTGAAGGTGCAGACAGGAATTGAAATATCCCTCCACATGGGAATTTCTACAAACTGCAAACCCACTCCTCTGTATTTTAAATGGGTTCAATGTAAGTTCATTGAAACACATCAATTTGTTGGAAGACATAATCATACACTACTCAATGTATGTTTGTCAGTGTAATGTCCTTTTTCTATTAAATCACCATAAAAACATAAACCGGCTGTACCTTTAAGATGATCATCTGTTTTTCTCATTATTTTCGTTCGATCTTTTTTAGTTATTGTTAGTTTTTAAAAAAACTGTTAAGGATGTAATAATTTTTCAGTTCCTAATTTTTATTTTTCTTTAGAAAGGTGCCAAGTGTACTATGCACTTGCAAAACTAACCTAATAAAATAAGAATATAAAAGAACCTGTCATTATTTTTAATTTTTCAGTGTTTTCACATCAAATTCATTATCAGAACCTGTCTGATGAGGTTTTCAAGTTAACTGCCTTCATAAAGATCAGCACTGCAATGCCAATTTCTCATTATATTCTGACCTTTTGTATAAGCATTAGCCTGTTGTTGCAAAAGACTTGGGGCACGTCATGTCAACCAAAGGATTAACCAAAATGTGGCCATTTAATCAGCAATGAAATGAACCATCAGCTTTAGCAAAATGAAGATTCTGGCCTTTTGCTTTGATGAAATTACAACACTGCAGTGAGGGTGACTTGTTGTAGGCCTACACGGGGACCCTGCAGCTGAGGTGTAACGTGAGTCGACAGCAGGTCTTTTACTTTGAGTCACGCTTAAAACACCGACCTGGGAAAATCGATGCAGTAATGAGCTGAGTGGGTGTGACACTGAGCTTGTGATCACAAGAGGAGGTCAGACGGGACGCACAGGGGTTGATATGGCGTTGCAACGGGAACAGCTTCGATTGGCAACGGTGGCGCAGAAAATAGCTGACAAGCGTGCTCCTGAAACATCTTTCACACAACAAAGCATTTACTCTCTAAACTTCAGACAGCCCTCAGTGACAGGAACGATTGCAAGCTGCTGCAGTTCCACAGGAGAAGGAAGAGGAGGAGGGTTTCAACTCAGAGTAGCGCTGAGATATTCACCCGAGTAATGATGGCAAAATAATCAGTCCAGCAGGAAACTGAAAACTCTTCCCTCATTGTGTCTGGGAAACAGTTGTGTTCTTGTTGCTGGGCAAAGCCTACAAAGTTTGTGTGTTTACTGATTTGACTTGACATCACTGCAACAAAGAAGGAAAAAAACAAAAAAAACAAAAACACTATAGTGACACTCCAAGCACAAAAACACACTCGGATGCCTGAAAACACAAACTATTTTCTTTTCTTTTTAACTAAAGACTTCCTGAGCAGATTGTGATCTGCTGACATGCTGATTTATGTCTCTATCTGGTAAATGGTGAGTGTTTGTAGGTGTTTAGTGCAGTATTTGGAGCTCCAAGAGAGATTTTGGCCAAACTGCTGCACTATTAAATTCCATTCTGCCTCTTATGAGTCTGCAGTTTTTACAGCAACACTCTGTGGGTAAGGAAAATGCGTAGTGTCCCATGGTGCAATGCTGCAGTAACGGCTTCTGCCTATGGATACTATCCCATCATTGCGTCAAAACACGTCTCTCCTGTTGCTGTTCCATGTTTGCTGCACACTGAATCACGGAAGACACACGGGTAATAAAGCGGATGGACGTCCGTCACTCACCCCGCTCTATCTGCGCTCTGGCGGTGTCCAGCTGGTGCTCGGTGCCGATCTCCCCAATCACTAGCAGCATGTAGTAGCTGCCCCGGTTGAACGGTACCCCTCGCCGGCGTCTCCCCGCGCCTCTGCGGTGCCCTAATCGCCCCTCGCACCCCGGCAGCGGCGCGCTGAAGTCCTCGTCTTCCTCCACCACCGGGAGCGCACCTCGCACGGGGATCTCCATGGCAACAACCCCCGGAGCCGACGCCGGGGCTGACTCCATCGCCATGACAACTACCGGTGTGAACGAGGGGAAGAGCCTGGTAGGGTGGGGGCGGGAGTGGAGGATGAGGATGGAGGACGCTGAGAGGCGAGGAAGGGGAGGGAGGTGAAGACAGGTGATAGCAAACGGGCCAGAAACCCAAAATAAATTTCCGCCTAAACTTTCAAAATAAGAGCGCTTTCGTGAAAGTGCTGTTTTATACATTTAGCATGCCGGATCCAATCCGTTATTTTAGTTTTGTTACATTTGTGATGTTTTACTTATAAATCATATAAAATTATATTCAAGGTGCGATATGTGGGGGAAAAAAAAGAAAACAAATCCGAGTGACCCACAGTGGTCACTCGGAAGTCTGAGCTGCTGTCAGTGTAATGTTTATCAATTCTGCAAGTCTCAATTTAATTTTATTTATACAGCACCAAATCACAACAACAGTCGCCTCAAGGCGCTTTGTATTGTAAGGTAGACCCTACAATAATACATAAACTTGAACTATGAACTTGAACTAACGGCAGATGAAAAAGAGCAGATGATTCTCTGCTACAGAGTTACGGTGAAGGAAATAATAATTTGATGATTATGATTATTATGATTATTCTGAATTTTCTCACCCTCAAAGAAAGGAACAGTCTACAATGTTAGATTCATTTTAATAGAGGGAGACAAAGTATCAATCAAAAAATTCACATTAAATAAAAGGTATTGACTGATTTGTGTGTCACTGAGTGAAATAAGTATTCCTTCCCCTACAATCCAACCAGAAGTCCGGCTCCCACAGATTGGGTGTGTGCCCATGTGATATAAGGTTTACAATCAATTAATCACAGATATACTACACTAAATTGGTTTAAAATCTTGAAGCACCTGCAAGGTCCCACTGTTCAAGCAAGCAGCAGTACAGGTCCATCTTAAATCTACCAGTAAGTGCTAAATGATTCAGTGAAGGCTTGGGAGAAAGTGCTGTGGGGGGAGAAGAAGTATAAATTGAGTTATTTTGCATAAACTAGACCCGCAATGATTGGAGAAGACAAATGCTTAGTGTTGTAAAGGTTCACCTTTCAGCACATTCACTTCACTGGATGCACCTTGTTTCTTTTCCTCACCTTTGATTGGGTGTGGTGCTTTCCCTTAATTGCGCTCACCTGCCACTCGTTATATAAGGACTGCACTCACCTACAGCTCACTCTTTCTTCACTCCCACATGGGGCAGCAGCTGAGGTGAGTTTCTGTATTATTTTGAGTTACTTAAAATCTCACTATTTCCTTTCAGAGATGACATTCCATGTGTGTCTTTCCATTGCTCATTATTCAATAAAATGAAAACCCTGCAAGTAATTGCTGACTGTTCATTCTCATCCTGACCGGATGAGCCCCTGATGGTAACAATCTCCAACCTCCTCTGAACCTTCCTCCAAAACACTTAGTATGACCAAAGCTTCGAGTTACCAAGAAACTTAAAGGATTTAAAGTGTCTAAAAATAGGAGTGAGCCAAAATCCCTCATGAGATGTGTGCAAACCTGGTGGACCAACTACAAGAAACATCTCACTGCTGTGCTTGCCAAAAAGGATTTCACCACCAAGTCATATTTTCACTCAGTTACATGCAGTGTTGGTCAAGTTACTTGAAAAAGTAATCAGTAACTAATTACTGATTACTTCCCCAAAAAATTTATCCTGCTACTCTGATTACTTATTTTCAAAAGCAATTACTTAGTTACTTTTCAAAAACGATTTACAACGATTTACAACCTGAATAGGTGATAAATAGGTGATCTTTTCAGCCCAATTCTACCATCATACAATGTAATCAAATGGAAACGTCCCTTTTTAAAACTTGTGTTATTAGTTTTAATCTTAACTTTATGCATCAAGCAAAAATTTAATTAAATTTTATATGCAACATTCTCTGACTGGAAGAAATTTGTTTAATATTTAAACCTATTTTCTGCACATTCCAGCACATAAACTAATTTTTTTGGTGTTTACACTCAGTCTTTCAAATAGATGCAAGTAAAACACAGTAGAAAATAAAGTCAAAGACTCAGCGGTCCTTTTGCTCTATTTTCACCTGTAAAGCAGGAGTTGGGTAGGCGGAGGTTTACCCTGGTGCAGGTGTGCTGCGGTCAGTTGAAGAATCCGCGAGTTTCTGAGTTTCCCATTACGTCATAGCGCACTCGGTGCTTGCTTGGAAGTTTAGGGGTTTTTTCGCTGTAAAAAGAAGTTTTCTTCCCAGACAGTGAACAGCGGACACTAATGTTTTTGTCACTTTTTATGGAATCAAACTCAAAGTAAGGTCAGTACTTCCACGCTTTAAACGCTGCATGCTCATACTCTCTCCGCACTCGATATATTATCCATTGTTGATCTGCACACAGCTGTTGTCACAAACGTCGCACTCGCTTACGTTTTGACCGCGACCCATATCCGATCATGGTATGACGGTGTGAACGGCACAAATCCGATATTTTCAAATCCCATCTGGGTCACTTTTGTATGTGGTAGCTAGAGATGGACCGATCCGATATTACGTATCGGTATCGGTCCGATACTGACCTAAATTACTGGATCGGATATCGGAGAAAAATAAAAAAATGTAATCCGATACATTAAATATCACGAAAGCACCTCACAAAACTTGCAACACGCC